GTTGACAAAAACTTTGAAGGGCAACTATGTCAAGATTATATTAGTTAAAAAAATGTCATTTACTATTGAAACACTCTTTATATTTATTTATATATGAATATACTTATAAATAAATAACATTAATTGTTTGTATATATAATTGTCTATAGAATTGATGACGCATTACATGACAACAAATAAAAAATAGTTACTTGAAATGTGGATGCAAAAACAATAAACCAATTTTACTTTATTTTGTTGCATTATACTTTCATTTGTTCCTATTATACCATTTTACTATGACAAATCTACCCGATTATATTTATATCATTCAAACAAAGTTGTTTATTTTTTTAATAGACAATGCATAGGGATAAATATACATTTAGTGATGTGTCTATTATACTATCCTGCTTTCAAGTACATAATTTTATTTTTTTTTAGAATTTCAAACTTAAATATAGTACTTGCAAAAAAATAACCAAATGATAGTAATTTTTAACTTAGTAAAAAATAACAAATAACATTCCTTACAAAAAGATATAAAACACATCAATTAATGAACATACATTGAAAACTGGGAAATAAATAAAGGTACAAAACAATATCATAAAACACATTAACACTAATTTGTAGTCAACTAAGAATATATCATTAATTATTAATTATTAATCGCACCTTTTCCTCCAATAGACACCCACCCAGAATACTGAAAAAGCAAAGATGAGTGTGGTATATTAATAAAAAATTCAAATACTTTCAACACGATAGAATTAAAAATTTTAAAAAGTGCATGCTTCAAGAAGCCTTTTTCGTGTTGAGATGTCATTGTCCTGTTCCACCACAAGCTAATGAACTTTACCAAAATGTTAAAATCAAACCACATATAAATCCCAAAACATTATTCTTGAAAATAAAAGATGTTTTCTCTAAAAAAAAATGATTGTAAAATAGCAGTTTTAAAAATCAAAAGATCTAAAATTCCATCAAGAAATATATATAGGTGAAGTCCAATTTTAATTTGTTCGAAATTGAACCGAAACATTTTGAACCATAGAAAATGGGGGTTCTACCCATTTGCAAAAAATAAAAAAACACTTCACAAGGTAATGGTCTTACTACACTTCCAATTAAAATTCCCTTTTTTATTTTTTTTCTTTTCCTTTTACCATTGATAATCCATTCAAGAATAGGACGACCAAAAAACCCATGAAATCTACAAAAAAAAACCCTCCACTGCAAATGAAAATTAAATCAAAGAGATATCAACTTCCATAAAGAAAATAAACTTTCCTTAATTTTCCCTTGTTGACATAAATACCCTTCAATCAAAACTTCACTATACCATTTCCTGAAGAAAACGATCCAATTACAGATGCAATTGTTGGACCAAGCCATATTAATGTCATTCAAACTCCAAGTATTCGAAAATAAAAAAAATGTTTGAAAGTCAACCAAAACAGATTTTGACCAAGCCATATTAATCCCTTCATCCTTAAAATAAAGATTCGACTGTGATTAAGCTCCAAACATTCAAATTTCACTTTAGATCATTTATTAGAGCATTACCCATTATCAACCAAAGATAAAAGTAACCAATTGATCTTTTTACCAATCCCTTCGCTAATACAGTAGCATAACTCAAATTCCAATAGCCAAAAGAACACAATGTAGCAGCTAAGAATCCAACAAATTGCAGACAATTTCAGTAGCATTGCATGGTATCTAAGTGATTTCCTGAACTCTTTTATTTTTAATAAAAAATTAACATTTCTGATAAAGCAAAGGATATTTAATAATAAATTAACTTTTTAGATAAAGCAAAGGAAACATGAAGGCATTAATCGAAACAATTGGCATGCTTACCTATAACAAATTAAAAAAAAAACTTAACAGTTCTTATACAAATGTTTTTCAGTTTTTGGTTCATTATGGAAACATAACACTGTTACAAAAAAAAATAGAATACATACATGTAACTAAAATTGCATCATAATAAATTAAAGAAGACAATGTTACCAGGTCAAGAAGTTTTTTGACAGTTAAACTTTGGAACTATATGACTCCTGTTGTAAAATAAGACGGATCCAAATTGACTTAAATAATATTAGCTCAATGCGGAATGAGATCAAAAATTATCAAAGCGTAATAATCACAACGTAATACGAATAAAATAAATAGAATAGAGACACAGGAATTTACGTGGAAACCCAAATCGGGAAAAAACCACGGGCGGAGGAAGCCGAGAAACAATTCACTATAATTTGCAGTGTTTACAGGGATTATGCAAGAGATTACAAAATAGAGTGGGAGAGCTAAAATACACGGTGGTGTATCAGTATATATATGTAATGCTTTT